ATTAAAATATTAAATTAATTAAATTAAGGACTGTTGCTCTATAAATTATATTATCTTCACAAAATTTAATTATAATACTAATTCTTTACACTTTTTTTCCACCTTTTTTAACTTTTCGTTATTAATTTTTATTCAAACATATTATAATACTGTTCCGACGGCCAGCCAAAAGAGATTGTGAACCATGAAACATCTTCTTTACTCAGTGACTCAGTCGATAGCAGAAGTATGGAGAGTGAGCAGACTCGGATAATGGTGGCAGTGAATGAGTCAACGATCAAAGGTTATCCGCAACATCTAGGGAAGATCGTCTGGATTAGCTGCTGAGGAGCAGACTCGGATTAGCTGCAGGGGAACGTTCGACTGGATTCTAGGGAAGATCGGCGGATCAAACACCACCGGTTTCAAACTTCTCTTCCTTTAATTGATCGCTTTCTTTTGTGAATGAAGTGGGGGATTGATGTTTGCCATAAGGTAAGACTTTTGTACCGTAGAAGACAATGGTAACACTGATTTAAAAAAGATAAGGTTGGAGAGTGACTGTCACGGGCGTGGTCATGACAACTAGCAGAATTGTTTTATATATAATTTGATTAATATTTATTATTTTTAAAAAATAAGTAGTTATGATTTTTAAAATATAAATTTATAAATTAATTTTAATTTATTAAGTAATAATTATTACTTATTCTATCAATTATTAGTTGTTCTTAATAATTAAATTAAACAAAATTAACATTTTTTAACATTGTTTTGGTAGCTTTAATATTTTCGTTAATGGCCATAACCACCCCTGATGGTATTTGGTAGGGATTTCGACGAGGGTCTATTTGGTTGGAAGGTCAATTTAAGGCCTGCCTAGTGGAGTTTTTTGGAACTTTTATTTTTTTTTAGTATTGTTTATGAATAATAAGTTTAAATTTTTATTGAAAAAAAAATTTAAAAGTTGTTTTTAAAAATAGTAAAAAATGGGTAAGAAATAAGTAAAGAAAATTTATAAAAAGTAAAAGTTTAAAACTTTTCAAAATTTATTATTTAAAACTAAAAAGAAGTTAAAAAATATAAATTTTTAAGAGGAAAATTTAAACTTATAAAACATGAATAATGTCAAAAAGCTGAAGCACTTATAAACTAAAGCACTTACAAATTTCACCAAACATGCTCTTACCAGTGAAAACTTGTTTAGACTATGAAAATGGTTAAAAAAATATTATACAAAAAGTTGATAAGTTTTGTAGTGAAATTTTAGTAGAATTTTATTGGGTTATTAACTTTTGAGGTTAATGCATATTAGTCTCGATTTAAAAAAAATTAGAGTCCCGACCTCTATTTAGAAACCGAAATTTTAATTTAAGGTTCAAAAATCTACTTTACTAAATATTGATACATAAATTTGGAAACCAATTATATATTCTAATAATGTTTAAAAATACATGAATAATCTTTTAAAAAGAAAATTTTAGAAAATTTTAGAGAAAAAGTTTCTTCTTACCAAACACCCCCTAAGAAAATTATATTGTAAGAAAAAAGAGGAGTGTGAGCCTCATCTTTTCAAAATTTTTTAGAGAATTTGTCTAAAAACTTACTTTCTAATTAATATTTTTAAGTCATTGGATTAAAAATTTTATTAATATAAATTATACATATCAATTTTTATATT